GTACGCGGAGTATCTGGGGAGCTGGAAGATGAGAACTGGCGACTTTGTAGTATAACTTTAGTACGCGGAGCAAGCTGTGGAGCTGGAAGCTGAGAACTGGCGACTTTGTAGTACAACTTGAGTACGCGGATGAGTCATCTCTCGCGGCTGAGTCATCTCTCGCGGCTGCTCTGGCGCTCCTGCAGCTGAGTCATGTCTCCCGACCACCCGGCTCTCTTGAGAGGCTGACAAATTTTAGCTACTTTGCTTCCTCATAAGTGGCTGCCACAAAAGAGTCATCGCGACGTTAGTATGTGTGTACTTCACCTTCATGACAAACGATGGTCGCTTGGAATACACGAGTCGCTTGTCATGATCGTGACGTCGTTTACTCTCAGGTCGCCCTGCTCGTGGAAACTTCAGTGTGAAATGTACGTTCTTCAGTTCTAGTTGAACCTCTTCAGCGTTGTACTTGCACAACTAAGGTTGACGTTGCATTGCCGTTGCATCGACGCATCTACGTCTACACCCCCTCACCTCTCTACATTTACATCTTCACACGCTCACATCCGCAGATCTACCTCTCCACCTCACCACACCCGCACATCTGCACATCTATATCACATCTGTACATCCACACTGTCGCTCCTTCACATCTGTCCTCTCTTTCTTTCTTTCTACATACCTTTTCTCTCGTCTCTGTGCATTTACATCTTCGCACGCTCACATCCACAGATCTACCTCTCCACCTCCATACATCTACAGATCTATATCGCACCTGCACATCACACTGTCACCCCTTCACATCCACCCTCTCTTTCTCTCTTTCTATACATCTTTTCGACAGTGCTGGACAATTACATGTCTCGCTCTCGGGCCAACCGTCGTCTAGTTGTTTGCTGATAAGAAGAATAAGCTACTAGGAACAAGTGTATCGCTACTTGTAACAAGTGCCTTACTAGTAGTAACAAGAAGCTACTGCCTTTCCAAATAATCTGCGAGGGCAGATCTGACGGTGCTGTAGGTACCCCCCAGGTCCAAGCCTTGACAGAGAAGCAGGAGTGGAGCAGTGATGGTAAAAAAGTGGAACGGACGAAGGAAGAATATGACCAGTGGGGACAGGCAAAACCGAACCAATCCTCCCCACAACAGCACATCAGCCGCTATGAGGTTCGAGTTTCTAACCAGGGTGGCGGTCGAAACTGAAAAAACAAATCCCGGGTTTACTTTCATTTTGTCGTAGAGCACGCCGTCGATTTGTTTTCCCGTCCGACCTCACAACGAAGTGGCAGGACTTTCCAAACGGAAGAGCTATAGTCAGATCCGTGGGCGCACGGGCACTCAAGCTAAGAGCAGAAAGGTTGAGAGGACATATGTCAAGCTGAAAACTCTTCAGCATGCTTTGGTCACGGAACAACTAGTGTGGCTCAGCTGAAGGCCCGAACCACAATACCAGTGGAGCGTGCCCTCACCTTGAATGAAAACACCTTCCATCGACACAGCTCTAGTTCCAGGATCCATAAAGAATGACCAGACACCAGTCAAACACAAAAAGGAAACGCTGTATACTCTTTTTGCCGCTTTCTTGGCGTTGGGGGCCCGACCTTCGAGCAAAAAGCCTGGGATCCTTTTGCGCATGCATGTATGTCGTTGTGCTGCCAACGAGGTGCCCACAAATTTCAGGTGTCACTTCAAAAAGCTACTAGTAACAAGTGCATCGCTACTAGGAGCAAGTGCACTAGGAGCAAGGGCCTTACTACTAGTAACAAGAAGCTATTAGTAACAAGTGCATCGCTTCTAGTAACAAGTGCCTTACTACTAGTAACAAGAAGCTATTAGTAACAAGTGCATCGCTTCTAGTAACAAGTGCCTTACTACTAGTAACAAGAAGATCCCAAGTATCACCGCGGCACATTACACCAGCAAGCAGCCCCAAAGAGTGAAAGCGCGGCACTGTGCAGAGTAGCACTCCAACCTAGTAGTTTCTTGTTCCTAGTAGCGATGCCAGGAGCCCCCTAGTAGCGTCCTTGCTCCTAATAAGAATGGGCTCCAAGACGTGTTGGTGGGCTGTTCAGGCATCGACGCTGGCTGCGTTGCACGACACCTCCTCGGCGTTCAGGCCGCAGCCGAGCGAATCGAACAGCGGGTGCTGCTGCGGCTGTTGCTTCTGCTGCTGCGTCATCTGCGTCTACGTCCTGCAGCTGCGGCTACGTCTGAGTCTTCTCCTTCTGTTTCCGCTTCTTCCGGTTCTTGTTCTTCTTCTGCTGCCGCTGCTTGATGACAAACTCCAAGCACCTCCCTGCTTGTTGTGTCAGAATCTTACGCTTTCCGAGGCCATTAGCCACTTCACCGCAGCAACTAACAACCACAAGAACCAACATATTAACAGCGTTACCTGACTAGTCATGGGCATGTGCCAAACACGGAGGATGCATCGCTCTTCTAAGGAGGATTTTGGTCTTGCGTTCAATACTGAAGCCTCTCAGCCGCACCGATACCACAGTACAGTAACCCTCAGATCGACACGGAAGCGGAATGAAAGTTTCTGCATGTCAACCAAATCAAGTGCATTGTATAATGTATTTGTTCACTCATGCATTTATTCCGTCATTCTTTCTGTCTGTCTTACTTTCTTTCTTCATGTTTCTTTTCTTT